TTCGAACATTCGATAGTTTGACATGGTCGCGAAGATATATCGCACTCATTTTAATTTTTTAGATAGGTGCCAACTCTATGCAGAAATATGTAGGAGTTAAAGCTTTACTTTAACACCTTTTGTTTGAAGCTCATATTTTACTTAACCGCATGTATGATGATTAAAAAAAATTTATTATAGGTAAATTGAAAACCCCGTCCAAAAATTAAAGAATTAAAGTATGCATTTTCAAAAACCTTTGCTGGGAACGCATAACAATCCATTTGATACCTATGTCATGGTATTAAATAAGCTTACATTTTTAATAATCATTGTCGTATTTTTTTACAAAGGCGGCAACCCCGTAAAAAATGTTTTTAAGTATGTTCAAACGCTTTCAGTTTTAAAGAAGAGACTTAATTATTTTATTGAGCCTTTAAATAATTTAAAATTTTCAAATATCTGGCAACCCTATTTTTCAAAATTGTTTACCACAAACCCACAAAAAGAACTAAACACATCCATTGTGCTGTTCGTGCGCGTTGTAGTCATGAAAACATAAAATAACAAATTTTTGTATATAACAGATAGGATTATCAGTTATCAAAACACAAAAAGAAACTTCTTACTTCAAATTTGGTTAAAGAATGCCCTATATCAGCAAATGGTTCAATAACGCCCTACCTCAGCTGGCGATATATTGAATCTACAAAAAGATTTGATATTAATTTTGATTCTGTTTATGCAGTATTCAACAACAATAAAAAAAAATGTATATTCAACGCTGTTCAGCTCATTTTTGTTTGGAGTAATAAATTTGACCATAGGTAATTTAAAATTAGATTGGATAATAAGAATAGCTGCGTATACAGTCGTATATGTGTGTTTATTTGCCAAACAAATATTTACTCCTCGATTAAGGCATGTCTTATTACTTAGTTCAAATATCTTCGCAAATTGTAGCAAAGTTTGTTTTTCCCACCTTCATACAAATTCTTCAGACTTTGAGAAATGTTGTTCACTACAGAGGCATACCTCCTTACATACCTGCATACGTATACTACGTGTATTTGTACGTACATACGTTATTCTGTGCGTATGGGTGTTTGTTTCTATGTAGGCCCAGCCAACTATAACCTGTTCATCATCAGTTAACCACATTCGTTTGTGTGGGTTTTCGCTGGTCACTGGCGCTTTTGGCAGCTTTACTGGTTTCTTAATTGTCGCCGCTTGCGAGATTTGAAGGTCAAAGTCAACAGGTGGAACTGTTGGCCATAAATTCGCGCTTACAAACAACACACAACACATACATCCATATTTTTGTTTTGCTGTTTGGCCTACTGAACCACCGCTAAATAGAATATATCCATTTAATTTTTACTATATTTATAACTTATTTACTCAGTTTGTCGTAGTTTTTTTTTTGTATGGTTTTAACTTTAGCGACGCCTGATGTTCACCGACTTATGTACTTCCTGATGATCAGATCAGATATTTGCTGAACATAAAAAAAAATCAAAACCAAATTTGTTGCAAAAAAGTTAAAAAATTTCATATAATTTTATGCTTTCAACTACATATTTCTACGCGAGGCTGTATGTGTACGTACTTATACACTGAGGGAATAATGTCGGCCTAAAAATAAGAACAAACTAACTCGATTTAGGTATATGGAATCTAAATATTACATTATTAAAATGAGAATTTCGTACTCAAATCAAATATGATGCTTTTTTATTATGAGTACGAGTGTTTTATTTTAAGAAACATTGAAAAGAAAAAGGTTGGGTTAGTTATCACAACCTTTCATACTTCGACGTAGAATGTTAGATGTATGTTCATGAACAATATTTTCACAAAAAGACGCGCGAACAAATGATTGATTGTATACCTAACTTAATTTTTTAGGTTTGCATTATCTTAGTTCCAGTATTTGGTACTCTCTATTTTAGCATTTTCAATCTTAGTCCGATTTTAAGTACGGGAATGCTAAGATCGAGTACGAAACACTTGATTCCTTTTCTGAGTGTAAGGTGGTTTAGTACAGCAAATATTGCTTCGGCTTTCGCTGAAAAGTAAATATTTAAAAAGTTCGGCACATAATATCGATAATTTAAAGTTTTTAGTTAGTATATTTTTGGAGAAATTACGTGACATTTAAGAATGGCATCATTCATTAGCAGCACTAGACGCCATTTACTACATATTTACATCGTTGTAGTGGCTATTTTAACCGACTTTAAAAGGGAGGAGTTTATCAATTAGTCGTGCATAAGTATTTGTTATGTTTATCTCGTGTGTTCGTGCGTAACTTCAATTATATTTTTGTTTTTTGTTTTGCTGTTTTTTGTTGTTTTGCCCTGTCTTTAAGCTTCTTTATTTCTTTTTCATTTATATTTTCTACGTACAGTCTTACACACCACAATGTGTACGCTTGTTTCGGTACGTTTTGGTTACTTTTCAGCTATTTTATTTCTTGAATGTCGAAAAAGGCGGCAAGTGTTTCGAAAATGGCCAGCGGTAATGAAATACACAAGACTACATTATTATAAGCACCTATTTGATGATCTCGGCTTGATTCCGACGTTTTTTTGGCGACAATGACGGTATCAGCCAGCATTGAAAGCGAAACTTCATTCACTAGAATGATGACGGAATCGTTAACAGATTCATCTTATTTCATTTGTTTGCAATTTGATCGCACTCTTGATTCTCATTAGTGTTTGAAATATTTAGTTAATTCGTTTCATAAATTTTGTTAACATTGGCGAGAGCCAGCACATGCCACTGCGAGTGACAGTTGGAGGAGCGGAGCGTATGTATGCATGAATCAATGTATGTATATTCAATGCCAAGGTTAAACGCTATTTAATTAAAATTTTTATTTAATTTTTGTCTCTTTTTGACAGCGTGCTTCTTAGCTAAGTACTCTTTATTGCCCTGTTTGTTTAACTTTTTCTTTTTCTTTTCCGTTTTCGTTCTCACCATGAACTGATAACTAAATTTGTTTGGAAATTACTCAACACCTCAGCGGGTAGCGCGCTTCTCACACGCTTAATTGGTTTTTTTTTTGTTTTTTGTTTTTCGTGTTTTAATTCCAACCATAGCTCTTTACGCTTACTTTTATCTGACGTTCTGTTGTGTCACGCTCTTTTGAACACATTATTCAATGAGTTAGTGTTTTTTCGTTCATCAGAATACTTAAGCTTTTAATTTCTTTTAGTTGATTTTCCTGTTTACCAAAATTGTTGCACTTTTTTTTTATATTGTTTACATTGTGCTGGCACTGTATGTCTGTTTGTGCAGACGTGTGAGTACATTAGGTTGTCCCAGAACATAATGAGAGAATTCATATTTATGATCCATATAAGTGGTGGCTACCCGAAGACCGAAGAAAACAAAGAAAGTGCATAGCAGTTGATTACGTTCCACTACTATGCACCTACTTAGCTTTATATGTTCTTTGGAGTACCTCTTAAATTTTACTTTTAGTTAAGAAGTTATGCGAAAAAATCTCTCCCAAGTGAAAAATGAAACATATATTTATGTACACATGAGCATTAGTCGTTGTGAGCTTAATCGTAGTAATAATTTATTTTTAGTTTTTAAAAATATTGAAGTACTTAAACTTCGGAGGAAATTTCTAATTTTTAAGCTGTTTTAAAGCTGTTCAGTTTCCGCGAGTTCCGTTAAATTGACTAAAGCTTCATTGCTGGTTTTATTTACCTTGAACTTTCCGCTTCTCACTACAATTTTCATGCTATTATTTTACGACCGTATTGATCAATCTGTAATTGTGTAAAGCTTTGAAACATCTCCATGGTTTTAGCTGGATCCGATAGTGTTAACAGTATCCAATTGGATAGAATAGCGAAGGATCCAGTCACGACTTCCTAAATTTTTAACCGTTTTGGGGCCGCTACTGGAGCATTCTCCACCGCTAGTTGGAGCTTGGCAACCTGTGGTAACTTGGCCCATAAATGGGCTATTTGTATCTCTGTGGTCGTCCCTAATTGGGAAGGAGGTTAGACGACGGTTGTTGGAAAATTGAACATGTTGACAGGCTTTAGAGTAGTCTGCTAATCTCAATTCGGTGGCAGTCCTCCCGGTCCATTCCCCTTTGTGAGAGGAATTACTCTGCGGGCTCCCCGTTGGTTTGATGTTAGCCAGAAGCATTACATATCGAATTAAAAAATATATAAAAATCTAGGGCACCCTAATGAACATATTGTTTATACATACATATGTATGTATACTGATGTGTACAAATGTTTTCGCGATGATGGTCTGGGCGTTATCTGCAGTGAGTTTGTTGTTCTTCTTCCATTTTAAATTCATACATCCGTATAAATTTTGCTTTTATAATTTTGATTTACGGCTGGAATCGAGGCAACTTCCTCGCACGTTATCTGAGGAAGTGGTTTAGTTGTTTTTATTGGTATTCCATATGTAAATATGTATATGGATATTTATAGATTTGCCATTCATACAGTCATCATTCACATCGTTGGGCGAATTCAAAAGCAAAGGGGAGTTGTAGAAGAATTCCTTAACTTCAAATCGAGCAGATCGACGATGAAATTTACTATAAGCACGAATGTTAAACAAAAAACAACAACACAAATTACAATTGGCTATATTATGACCGCATTTTTTTTATATATATTTTTTATGTTTTTATAAGAGTGGCAATTAAACACGTGAAGCCTGCCGTTGCTGGTCAGCTGGCGTTTTTTTCGGCGCGCTGCCAGTTTATTTAAATCGGGCTACACTAAATTTAGATTTGGTTATTAAAGAATTCTTTTTGAACTTATTCATTTTGTTTTTATGGTTTTGTTTACTTTTATTGCTGTGCTTCAAGTGGGTATTAAGTAATTCAAGTTCACGTAGTATTTATATACATATCTACATACATATTTATGTACATTTTTTGTTTATTTGTTTCTTCCCTCAACTCATATCTTACGATTTTGGTACATTATTATTAAAACTCATTGCGCATTTGCCTTTTATCTTTGCAGCTTAACATCTGGCTGTAATGGCATCTTTTCACGTCGTTTGGATTTTTCGTCGTTCAATTTGTTGCCGAAGACACGCTTAAATTCCTATCAAGTCAAGGTAAGTAAGAAGATAAATGTTGATTCTATTCATGAGCCGGATGAGAATTATAGAAATTATGGAAGTGAAGAAAAAATCCAATAGTTGGAAGGCTCAGAGGTTAGAGAAATATTTTGCTAAGTATTTTTAAACCTGGACGATTGTATGTTATAGAACTCCGCTTGCCTTTTGTGGCCTTAAAGAATTTACTGACGAAGGCATGGCTGTTTTGAGCACTCAGCAATCGCTTACTTAGGTATATACATACATACATACTTACATATGTACTTGCATATGAATGTATGTTATGTACATATGTATGCATATAGACTCATGTAAACAAAAGATCGCAAAATATCTACTGAGATCTGTCACAAATGACACCGACACCCGCGAACAAAACAAAGAACAGTTGGAGTTCCAAGAAAATCTGTGTGTACTCGTATTATATATTTACATGTGTACATGTATCTCTGTGCACCTACGTTTAATTGTTGTTTGATATGTGGTATGGTGTGGATTGTTTTTAAATATTTGTGCTCCATTAAATTGGAGCATTCAGCATCATTAATATCCAATGGCGATTCCTTTGAAGTCGTTGTTTGTTCATTCATACATTTTGGCATCTTAGAAGATTTCCTGGAATTGATGCTTCTCTCCGTTTTTTTTTTGTTTCTGCTTGTGAATGGTCTTAGTTAACTCCAGATAAGATGACAGAAAGTGTAGTGGCAATATTTTCATAGTAAAATTCAAGGGTGGTCCAAAAAATACACAGGAAAATCAACTTTTTATAATTTTCTTGCTGCCACCCTTCTATGGTTCCAAATAAATTTTTTTTTTGGCAAAAAACCAAAAAAGGAAAAATAAAAAGTTGCATATATATTTTCTTAATGGCAATACCTTAGGCAATCGAGAGAATACAATGAAAAAAACTAGGTGGCAACACTACCGATTCGTCAAGCCTTCAAAGTAGGATGTTTAAACACGTGTAAATAAAAGAGCCTTACAATTACCTTAACAGCAAAGGGTGCAAACGAAATCACAACTAGGATATATAATTGAATTTGAACCCCAATGTAAGTGGTTTAAAAACATTATTTCTAATTTAAATTCCTTGTCGTTATTTTTGAGTGTTGTGTTAATATTGGATTTTATTCAACATAACCTATATGTTTTGTAGTCAAAATGTTGTATTTGGGCATGAACTTGCATAAATGTACAAACGTGGAAGTGTTCATTAAAGTGCGTATTATATGTTGACATTCAGATATCGCCGGCATTTTTCAGCAAACTCCCACAATTGTCTTTTAGTTTAGCACAATTTTAGCCGATTAGCCGTGCCGAAATGCTTTCGTTTGGGTAAACAAACAGGACTCGAAATTGACTTTAGAGCTATGCTCTGACGAGGTTTTCTCTTAGACTGCGTTTATACACGAAAACTTTGGCGATTTGTGTGTATGCAATTGTTGTTGTCAGCTGTGAACAGCGGTTCAATTTACACAGACGAACGAGAGCACAAAGCGTGTTGCCCGAGCACGAGCAACTCGGTGCCCCTCTCCTTTCCTCGTCACGCTCTCTCCTACAAACGTCGAGTTGCGGCAACAAAAATCGCCGTGTGTAAATGAGCACTTAGAATTTCATGTATGTAGAATCCGAATCTGCTAAGAACGATGTCGAAAACAAATCGTTTCATACAAGTTGCCCCGCCCTTAGGGTTGCCAGATTTTTTATGCGCGAAATCAGTACATTCGACTTTTTCATGCTGAAAAATCAGTACTTTTCAGTCCATTTTTATTCAAAGCAAAATTATGAATGTAAATAACAGAAAATAATTTAAAACGCCTGAGTTTTTGATTTTAACAATATTTTGGTATATAAATAAAGTAAACTTCATAAAAAGTTAAAGTGTTATTCATTTTAACATGAGTGTACACATCATTATAGACAGGAGCCAATAAATTATTTTATATTTGCGACTTTTTGAATAGCAATAATGATAATAATTCCCATTTGCAGTGTTTAAATAGCCAAAGAATTCTATACATTTAATTTTAAAATTACTTTTAATTTGAATTTCACTTTCAAAAATTTTAATTAGAAGCCGGTTTCTCTCTTTGCGCCAGGAAACAAACTTTATTCTTAAGATCCTCTAATACTGTGAAAAAGTACCACTTTTTAAGGAGTTCATCTATATTTCCTCATGGCTTCAATAATTTTTCAACTACGCAAAAACTGTGAAAGACTAAAAATTCGCTAAAAAGAGTATCTAACTTTATATTTTGTATGCAAAACTTTTTTACCAAGTCAGTAAATTGAGAAAAAGGAGTTGTAAGTTATAGGCAAAAGCCATTCGAATATTGAAATTTATTGTTATTAAACTGAAAGTTATTTTCGAGACAACCAGCAACACTCGACAAAAATTTAAGTCTTCTTTTTAAATAGTTTAAGCTCCATCATATTATCGCATCTGGTACGTAATGATCCGGCGCTATGCCCATAAAACGATTGATCTTTTTGTTGTATTAATTTCTTGTTGTTCTTATGTAAGAACCTTAAGAAAATACTACTTTAAGAAAATAATGAAGTATGTACATATTTTGTTTGAATAGAAAATTCAGTACAAATCAGTACAAATTTTGAAAAATCAGGACATTAGCGTACTGATTGAAGAAATGAATAAAATCAGTACAAGAGTTGAAAAATCGTACTTTACTGATAAAATCAGTACGTCTGACAACCGTACCCGCCCTAGTGTACCTAAATATACACTTACGTAAATAGACTTATGTACATATATAAATATGAACATATGTACATATCTACACCTATACTAATTGGATGCTTAAAAACAAATAAACCTAGTATTTATATATAATTTAGTTAGTTTTTATCCAAAATCTTAATGTTATATGGGCGGTCAAGATGGGTGTGGCCCGATTGGTCCAAAATTTGGTCTTGTTCTTACTTATGCCATGACTATTGACTCCGCGAATTTTCAACTTCGTAGTTGCATTAGTTTAATTTATCAAGAAAAAAAAAAATGATTTGGGACCATAGTGCACCCCCAGAAATACAGAAAATGGAAAATAAATTTCACATTTAACCGTGCCGCCGAGCTTTAAAGTTTTCAACGTACATACATACAAATTTCGTGTGGCGAAAATACATCTGTTCGTAGGATAGCTATAAAATCGTTAAAAGTAAATATATTTTGTTCAAATAAAAATATTTTCCTTCACACATCTTCCAACAATATGTAGAATTTTGATGCAAACGGGCGAGATGTAGTAACGAACTGATCAAAGGTTTTGTGTATACGAGATGAGAATATTTATGTTTATCGATTTTATAGCGATTCTACAAAAAAAACAAGAGTTTTCCCCAAATGAAATATGTAAAATATGCAGTTTTTTTGGACCGCCCTAATGTACATAGTACATACGTACAAGTTGAGCTTTTTGAAGCTTTGTTTATTTGTTTCGGCGGATATTTGATGCTTAAGGTTATTATTTTACAAAAACTGTGTACTGCATATCGGCATCGACCTTAGAGTGAATAGTTGCTAAGCCCAATTTTATGAAATCTTTTAATAAAGATCGAATCCTTCTGATTCGTATGGAGTTTGTCTTTACTGTAAATGGAGTTTTTGTTTACTTTAAACGCCAAAAAAAGATTTGAATACTCAAACTTTAGCGAAATACGTAACGAAAATGGCCAAAAACTTAGCAACTTTTGTTTTAGGCTACTTTTTCGGGTTTTCAATATAACAAACACAATTTACAAAAACATGCGTTGATATTTTGAAATTTTATTGCTGACGGTCTCCCGTGTTTTATTTCATAAGAAATTCATACTTATATGAAAGTGCAAAAATCCGTCACCGAAAAAAATTCTCAAAAATCAATCAAAATTTTGATGAAAATTTGGTGAATTTTCCTAAATTTTGTATAAAGTTTTACGGTTTTGCTTAAAGCTTAGACGATATTGCTATATAAAAATAACACAAAAATGGTCATTTGTTTGAGTCACTGTATATTTTCATAAAGGCCTGGGTCCCTCTTTGAGCAGTACTTAGTAAAGTTTCAGATCACTTGTTAGACAAAATGTTTTTTTTAATTTTCTTTTGCAAAAATGCTTCTAGATGCTCTAGGAATATTTCTGCATCAAAAATAAAATTTTGAAAAAAAGTCGCTTACGTTATTTTGGCGGTTGGGTCTCGATTTGAGCGATAGATCTAGTCAAATTTGGAAAACACTTTCCACGTATTCCGCTCTTAAATTGTTCTATATTCCCTTTTATTATGCCGTCACTAAAGCTATTCAATCAAGAATCGTTTTTAATACTTTTGAATATTTTATGAGCGTTTTTCCTTTTGTCTTCCCACTCTTTTGTGTCTGTTCGAATTGCACACAAAATCAAATTACATTTCAAGTGCCGCCCGCCGCAGCTAACAGTGAGGACAAGAAGAAAACTTTGCGTGGCATGTCCATGACAATGGCATTGAACGAAAACTTAGTTACCTGACGCTACTTGCTTTTCTGTTTTATTTGGCTTTGTTTTTGCCTGTCTCGTTAGTTATGGATGCTAAGCCGTCGGGGGCCACCCACTTGGAAACAACATGAAACAACAGTTATGACATGTGTGATATCCTTTGAACGCAGGTAGGTGAGGGTAGCACCACTGCAAATGTGGATTTATCCCAGCCGAGCAGTCGCAGCTGAACTATGTGGTAAGAAAGATATCTACATATGTATGTGGATCGTGGCGCAGTTTTGAGACTACCAATACTTCATTTCAATTCCAAATTTCAATAAAAAAAATTTATGTAGGAAAATACCATTTTCGTCTTATTTCCTTGGATAGGTCCTATTCTCTCTGCTGCTGGGTTGTTATTTCCGTTCCAAGGTAAGCTTAGCATCCGAAACAAAACATTTCAATTCAACTAAAAGCGTTCGAATGCTGCTACTACAACAGTTTGCATGCCAAAGTGCATGATTTTAAATCACACCTTCGCTGGCTCA